CCTAGTTAGGATTGACCTTTCAGTTCTACTGAGAGGCAGCTTAGTATTGTTCCTTCATTTGAGGATAGATATTGCTACTCTTCCTCTGCTAAGTACTGCTGAAGAATAGCAGAATATGGCCTGTAATAAAGTGTAGACCTCCACAGAGATGGTAGATGATCCTTTGTGGTCCTTTTCTCCCCTGAGCTGTACCATCAGTCATTTTATGTTTGATCTTTATACTTTACCATTGATCCATAAAAAGTAGTTTGATGATAAGCAAGCAGACAGATTTCTGAAGACCACCTGTCTGCAGACATCATGCATGGATTGCTGTCCTTTAAAAGAAAACCCATCTGAACAGCTTCTAATATGGAAATCTTCTCACATTCACATAAAAGGCTGAGATCTATATGTACAACTATGAAATCAATAGGCAGTCCCTGAAGCCACTGCACATAAGAGGCCAACTGTTATAATGTATATTTGTCTGCACCTCTGAAAAAAGTATTCTTCTCAAAACAGCATCAGTCTGTCTCAATAACAGAGGTAATTAAAAAAAAAAAAAAAAGAAAAAAGAAAAAGACAAACCAAAAAATCCCCCAAAACAAACACCACCCAAATCCCCAAAACAAAACAGAAAAACATTTTGCAACACGTAGCTCATCAAAATCTTGAGAATTATTTTCCTTTACTTGTCAACACTGTGTAATGCTTTCTACTGCCTGTGATAACAGGGCACTCAACTGCTCTTTAGTGCACTCTTAGATTCAAGGTGTGTAGAACTTAATTATTTCATAGTGCTAGTTTATGGTACCTTCACATACAATAGCTCTTTCATGTTTAAAAAAAAAAAAAAGTGTTGAAACACAAACACTAAATATTTCACAACCATAAAATTAGAATCAATGAGTTAGTAAAATAACTAAACAATGTTTAGTAGCTCAGCTATTGAAATCAGTATGTCCATGCCCTTCCATGTACATAAGAGCTCATGATATGCTCATCCCCAACCAACTGAAACTATAAATACATTAAACTCAAAATCAGCTAATTATAATCTAGGGTATATTTTCTTTTAACATATGTAGGACCTTAACAGCTACAATATGCATTACTTATGATATTCATTCTATTTCAGTAATTCTGCAGCAGCCCTGTTATCTCCATCTACTTTTTAACCTCACAGTTGCCTTATTCAGACTTTTTATGTGCTCAGTCTTTTCTGTCAAGACAGAATCAAGAGTTACCAGGGCCTAATGGCTTTGACTTTAAATGTCTAACTGTTTAATTACAGTTTCCTAGACATTTACACTGTTCCGTATGTGTATTTGGCAGCTCTACATCTAGTAACAGCAGTGAAAGGGTATTTATTTTTAGACCAAATTTTGTAGAATTCAGTATTTGGACCTGTGAAAAGCTCTCTCTGTCCATAAAATCCCATCTCCATGTTTTAATTGTTGGGTTTTAGTTATAAAAATAATTCTACTTTCCATAACGCATTTTACCCTTAAGGGAGTATGTGCCTAATAGACAAAGGATTTTAGACATTATTATGTTCAAATCTTAAATGCAAATATAAATACTTTTAAAATTGTCTGATGTTTCTTTGAACGCTTTGTGAAACATGCTAGGTCTTCCTCTGTAGTCCTAGGCATACTGGAAATAATATTCCTGAAACAGAAGGCTTCTAAACAGCACAGCAATTGCTTTTCTTCTTTTTTTCTTCAATCAGGTGGTGAAATCCCCAGATCCTTAATTAATTCTTGATTATATTCAGATGTAATTTCCACTTAAATCAGTGGAAACTAAGTCTGGGGAAGGGTGTTAAAGTTTGGTCTGACACTGTCCCTCTCCCAAAGGAGGCAGACAGTAAATCCATATTGTTTCTGAAAGGGCCAATTCAAAATTACTTAAAACTAGTTTATTTCTATTTTCTTAGAAGTTAATAGTAAATCTTGTATTGATTTTAATGGGAATAATTAGGTTAGTTCTGAAATTCTGAGAATGTAGAGTGACTAGCCTCTGTAATATAAGTTCATATCTTCAAAAAGAAGCACAAAATGCATTGTGAAGTCTTCCAAATGCAGTGATTCCTGAAGCTGGATCCAGCTAGCTCCTGTTAAAGTTCAGTAACCCACAGCTTTGTTGTAATTGGTACAAACTTGCCCTGAAGTGAATGTAAAGAATATGGTTTTAGATTAGATCCTGAGCTGCTATGCTCTGATAGTTTAGAAGCAAATTATAATCGTTCCTATTTTAAAAGTGCATATTCTTATATTTCTGAGCAACTGAGTAAAATTACATTGCTTGTAAGATGAGCTATCTAAAATAGGTGCTGCAATACCATAGTAATAATGAGTTTGGTAAAAATGCTTAGACTTAACGTGATCTTGCGGACAAAAAATGTGGCATAAGGCTGATTTATAAAACTGCCACGTTAATTGAAACTATTTGTAGCTTGTCAAATATTAAGTTGCTCAAATCAATTCTTTGTAATTGAATTTCAGAGAAATTACCTTAGTCTGTTGTAGTAATGAATTTAGTAGATTGCATGTTTTGTGTATTTTCTTCAAATCAAAGTTAAGCAAATACACGGCTAAGTCTTTTGACAAATTTTGCTTTTTTTTTAATATCTTAAAAAATTAAAAAGTCAAATTTCTTTCATATTTGCATTGCACTTAAAATTAATTTAAAGCTGAAGCAAGCTTGAGAAAACCCACGTGATCAGAAACAAATTTTGTGGCATGGTGTGTATTGTCATGTTCATTCTGAAAATGAAATTACTCTGCCTGATAATGGTTTTCTGCTATTTGCTCAGAGTTTTTTTAAATTGTATTTACTCTATTTTTCCAGTCTTAAATGAATCCACACATTTATTTTGTACCTGACATACAGAACTTTTATAATAGAAAGAAAACCCAGTTTTATCCCTATCCTACGAGACAATCTTCAGTAAATTTCATTATAACAGTATGGCAAAAATTATCATTACTCATGGGCCTGTGCTCAATAAAGATCTGCCTGTGCAGTGCACAGGTGACTTTTAAAAAGCTCTTAGGATTCTAATACTTATCAATATCCTAACTTGCTATTAATTCATAAATATACCTTTGCCTATGATACTTGTTTCTCAAACATGCATAAAACGTTGCTTCTAGGCGTGTATATGAGCATCTTCACTTCTCTATGATGCCTATGAAAACTGTGTTTGTGAGATCTGTAGCTTTTTAAGATGTCCCTAGGGTTCCTGTAATGAGTTTGCCTCTGTTATTATGTCTGTTGCAGAGCCAAAGTATGGCAAAGAAATTTCAGACGTCTGCTGTGAAAAGCATATCAGTGTCTGGATTAAAGGAGCTTTATGCAGCATATGAAGTTGTACTGCAGTACAGCATCTTTTAAATAAAAGTAAACTGAAAGGAAAAGGATAGGCATTGAGGAACTTGAAATTTTTTCCCAGTGTAACATGCTACTACCCTATAAAAGGTATTGTGTTATCTGTAACATGGTCCCTCACTACTAATGTTTTTTGTTAACATTAATGAGAACGATATTATTATCAGATATAATGCTTATTATTACATGATTCATTATGCAATATGGAGCTTTAGTTATAAAATCTAATCTTGTTCAAATATGACTATATCTAGAATACCATTGATACCACTAGACAGAAAGAAAACAGCACACCTCTAAATCAGTAATTCATGTGAACTAAGAAAGGACAAAAGGTAGTTGAAGTTGATGTTTAGTTGTCTGGGTAATGAAGTGGCACAAGCTCCTCCTCAGTGCTACCCCTGAGAGGAACTGTAGGCCTTTGTCCTTAAACAGCTGTCCTGCACACACATGAGGCACATTTGGGTCCTTCTCCAAGTCTCTAAAGGTATCGCAGATATCATCCAGGACACTGTTCTGTCCCTAACTGTATCACGGGTGACATCTGTGGTCTGGGAGCCTTGAAAAAAACCCTTTATTTTGTATCTTTGTTAGTTTAAATCACACAAGGAAGATCAATAGTACTGGGTTTGTAACAGTTGGTTCAAATCTTTACTGCTGAACACTGGTATAGGATTCAGTTTTGGAGTATTTCTTAATAGTGGTCGGTGTTCTACTGAATAGATACAATTTGCTTGCTCATCAGATTACAGAATCGTCAAGTTGTTGTATGCAAAGTTGTTAGTCTTTGTAAGCATTTGTTAGAAGCTGTAGCCCTATATTTTGTAGCAATATTTTTCTAATTGTACTCTTGCCTGCGTATCCATGAAAGATACAAATATCTGTAATGTAAATAAAACATGCATAAATAATAACTATGAGAAATAGAGGGGTGATAATGTAACTGCTGCTTCTTTAGTAACCTACAGTGCCCAAACAAAAATATTTTTCTTCCTGGGTACAGCTGCTTAGTCAAATTATGGGACTTTTCTGCATTGTAAAACAAAATTAAGGGTTTTGTAGTGCTTATTCCCAAGTGGTAAGTGCAAGAGCCTCTTGTGAGAGACAGTGAGAAGGGGAAGACAGGGACAGAGGGCCAGGGATTTAAAGTCCTCAGGCGGTATTAAAAAGGCAAACAGGAAAGCTCTGATAAAACAAAAACTTTCACTGCTGCTTTGAGACTGTTTTGAAAAACTTTGCTGTCACCTGAGTGGAATTCAAATAACGTGGAAATAGAACTTTTCAGGGTTTAATATTTCATGTGGAGTTACCTCTCTACTTCATTTTGAAGTACAGACTATAGAATCATTGAAATATTAGGAAATGTACATCTAGATTTATTCAAAGATTTATTTCAAAAACTATCAAAATAATTTTAGATCAGATGAAAATTTATGTGTGTGTAAGTAAATAGCATTACTGAACTTTATATTGATGTGTTTTTTTTCTGTAGGTCTATTATTCCTTCCTGTATATATGATTAAACATGTAATCAGTTATGTTTTTGCCAAGTGAACGTGTGTTTTACATGCATTCTTCCAGGCAATTTAGGCAATAGTTAACATTTCTTATTCACTTCATTGCAGGAAAAATGGGCTGAATGGCGAATCTAAAAATGCTAAGCAGGATGTTGGATTGAAGTAAGTGCCTTAAACAGATACTTAATGAACTAGCAAGATTAGGTAGTAACAACAACATACTTGGTAGCAGTGGTGCTTTCCCAAGGGTTGTAGTACCTGTTTAGATCACTGAGTGAACGCAGGAGCACGTTAATGCACAGTGCTGTTACCATGTACCCACGGTAGCTCAGTCTATTCTGCCTCTGAACGATTTCTGCATGCAAGAGTCTTTCCAGTTCAATAGGGAACTGTAGTTTGCAACATAAACGAAGGACTGAAACTTCAATGGGAAAACCATTTGACAAACAAAAGGAAATAATTGCTTTTAATAGCAATAAATAATAATAAGGTACTTAATAAAATGTAGTTCAGTATCATTTTTTTTTTGAGCAGGGCACGAGTGGCCAGTTCGGAGGGACAGTCTGGCCAGTATGTGTCACTGGTGTAGGCAATACTACATGTTTTCTACACCATATTCAACAAGGGAAAAAATGCCTTTTAGAAGGAAATGTTGCTATTCAGAATTCTGCAAACTGTCAACCTCAGCTAGCTCTAAGTAATTATCACTGTCCCACAGAGAACACGAGATCTGTGATGCAGCAGTAGAAACTGGGAGATAAGATGATGATGTGCACTTGATTCGATAGACTAACCTGTACAGAGTTTCTAAAAGAAGGGTCAAACAGCTGTTTCTTTATAGATCATCATACTACATCAAGTGCTGTAGAAATAACTTTTACATTTTTATCCTTCACTTCTCACAGTACTGCTTACAGAAAATTCTAGAAAAACAAAACCCAAGTGTTTCTCACTGGCTATACATTTATCAGAAATCCCTATTGCGCAGTTAGATTTTATAATAATAATAATTATTCAACATGAGATTTTTTCCTCATCTGTTTTTCAGGTTTCTGTATTAGACTAAATTGTGATGTTACATGTCACAAGTGACTGAATTCACTGACAATTTATCTCTGAAAGCAGGATAATGGGAGTTACAAATGTACTGAACAATGACATTGTTAAAGGGAGGAACAAAGTATTTTATAGCATCATTTTTTTGAGATTAAAATTCTGGAACAGAAAGCGTTACACTGTAAATTAAAAAACTATAATCAGGGTAGGAACTGGTATTCAGTGAAGTAATTTGGCTTGCTTTTTTTTTTTTTTCTGTGGAGAAAGTAATCTGAAACGTGATTTAAAGACAACTATTAGGCAATTTCAGTTACATTACAGAATGTCCCACCTTCAACTCAGAACCCAAATGCATTTAATTACTGCAAATTTACTATAGTAGAAAATAGTGATTAAAGGAAGGTAGTATGTGTTAATGTGTAGTCATTAAGATTTATGAAAACTGAAGTAGATGGCTTCAGATTAGACAAGAGTTCTATTTCATAAAATGTTTTTTACACTTATTTTTACCATGACAATCAGCTGATATGTCAGTGGTCTGCAGTCTATCTGAAGAGAGAAACGCACAGATGGAACTGCAGTATGAGTTTCACAGAAATGATATTCAGATTTGACAGTGTCCTCATCAAACAGTATTCTAGGAAGCTTAAAAAAACCCCTGAAGTTGCTGAATACTAATGGCCCTAATTTCTGAATTCTCCTTTTAAATTCTCTTTTAAAAAAATATGTCTCTAAATGCTGTAAAGATAGATGGACTGTACTAATATATTTCTTAATTGTTAGTATATTCTGTCATAGTGTATTGACCACCCCCTGTCTCAGGTCAGGCCTCCATTGGGGTCTTTAATAATCTTTATTGGTGAGGGTGTTTGTATCCCCATGAAGCTAGTTTTGAGGTCAGCATTTATAAGGAAAGACTACTGAAGGAGGAATAAAAGTAATTATTTTTTCATCAAACCAACAATCTATTGAGTATGAATAAATAGTGGCTGAACATTGATCTACAGCTCATTAGGAGAAAGGGAAAATAGGTGAATTAAAAATTTGATAGTTCAAAACTGTAGACTGCAATTTACTGTTCTAACTACCTTTCAAATCTAGATGGAAAGGAGATTACTTAATAGCTAGAAATAGTTCTTTCTGTCCATCTTGGGACTTCCTGCCAATGCTGCAAAGAGTGCAGTCCTTCAAACAAAATTGTATGTAATGGTTTTAATGCATTCTGTGTGGAACTTCACTTTAAACAGATTCTCCTCTTCAAAATATTTAAATAATATTCAGGGTGTTAATTTAAGTCTCTACTTAGGAAGAACCTTTTCAATGTAAATAGTCTTCACATCAGTGTTTGAGAAAACGAAATGTTTCACTGAATACTTATTAAAATATATGTTACATCTCTAGTTACTTGCTCAGGATTATACGCTATCTGTTAATTCCTGAAAAAAAAAGTTGACAGCATCCTTTTTTTCTACCACTGTGTGAGATTCAGTGTCAGATGTCACAAATGCTGATGCTGACTAAGAAAAAAGTAGAAAGATTATACTGAAGTCTAGATCTGGGATATCAAATGAGACTGAATGAACAAAAAATCATAATTATAAGCAATTAGAGATGAACTACAAAAGAGTAAACGGCAAAAAAAGAGCATTTCCATTTTATAGTGGAAGCAATTCATTTTACGGACTTGTTAATGTAGAATCAATTAATTTTAAAATCGTTTTATGACTAAGGGTTAAATTCGAAGCAAAACTATAGACTGAAGTAGTTGAGAACTCGCACATCTGGATCTCAAACATGACTCCAGATGTTTGGGATATGAGTATGGCTTAACTAATGTATATGTATGGAAAAAGACTCTGTTTTAATAATTGTTAAAGGACACAGCATAGTCATTGGAAGAAGAGGAAATTATGACCAGTCTTAAGAGAAACAAATTAAATAGCTTCAATTAAACTTTCTTCTCAATTGATTTACTATAGTTCTTATTGCTTTTTTTTCAGACAACACAAAATTTGCAAGTAATACTGCTTTGTGAAATTAAGGGCTTGAGTAAAATGCATCCTGTATTGATGACAGAAGAGTAAAAACTGAAGGACTTCCAGGCCAGACCCCCAAACTATAAAGATCTATGTCCTTAAGGTTGACAAAACTTCTGTACCACTGTTGTGGCTGGTCCACAACCGATTCCAATCTGCGCTCCCCCAAAGTAACAAATAAGAGCTATTTCAAGGTAGCTCTGCTTACTGCCAGGGCTGAGATGTGAGATTTGTTACTGGAAGCATAGGCCCTGACATGCAATGTAGAGGAGTAATTCTGTTTTACACTGTACATAGCTGGCCAGTAAGGGGAGGTGGGTCTCACTCCTACAGCAAATGATTTCCTGGCATAAAATATGTAGAAGTCTTAGTCTCATCACTTCCACATCCTATACTCAAGGCCTAAACCTACCAAATCAAGCCTACCATGGGTTTTTTCAGTGCTTAAACCAATAACCAGTCATTAACTTGTTTCTAGGTCTAGATAAGCCCTTGTGTTGTGACTAGCAATTATAACAAAGTGAACTCTGGAGTTAAGGGCACAGTGTTTTCAGAAAAAAACATCATGATGGTAATATGATAAAATGTCTTTTTATCCATAAGAATTATTGGTGCAAGAAATGCTGCTGTTCACTGGTGGATTTAGTTTGCAAACCTTAGCCTTTGTCTCTTCTGTGATTACAAGTACATTGTTTGGTCTAGAGCTGAGGAGGGACTGCTAATGGCTTCTTGGCTGAACTTTCTGCACTTACAATTGTTTTTGTTGATGACTGTTCATTAAATGGTAGAAGACATAGTGAATGAAAAACAAAACCACAATTCTATGGCTCTAGAATAAGTTTTTAGGCAGTTTGGAGTCACATCCCAATAGGTCTTTCTGATTACTTAGCTTGCTAGAAGTGAAACCGAAAAGAAATTCATGTAGAATTTTCTTTTTCTCAAGTGCAAAACAAGCACTTCCAAAAACAAGGGCTATTTCCAAGAAATATAAGGATGTTGTATAAGCAATATATTTTGTTGTGTAATGTTATTGGCAATAAATAAAAATACTGTATAAACAGTTATCCTAAATTGAAAACACAGAGGTAAGAGATCTCTGATGAAAAAACATTGGATTAGTGGTACAGATTGCCCAAATAAGTATTTGGCTTTGTTGAAACAAAACTTCTCATAAGACCTGTAAGTAGTAAAAATAATTTTTGTTCTCAGAGTAAAATTACTACCGCTGCATATGTGTCATGTAGCCATGATAAGCTTTGAACAGACTTTTACCCTGTATTATGCTATGTCCATTTGCATTCACCATTTGCGTTTGTTTCTACAGGACTAGAGACTATGGTTCAAAATTCTTTTGAACAGATAGCATTCTATAAAATATTTAAATGCTATTACGCAGAATGTGGAAAAAAACAGGAAATAAATATTTCGTGAAATTTTGTACTTTAAGATGAGCTTGGAATTCTTTGTGGTTGGATTTTTTTTCTCAAAAGGACGATTATCTCTCAAATCTTTTCACATGAATCATAGCAGTTGTCATCTGGATACACCATTTCCATGAGCTTTTGATCAGGTCTGTGAATATTCTCAGCCTATCTTCAGTTCAGATGTCATGTATTACTGAGAACCTGTCCAGGCAGATACTGCCACTGCATATTTGTTTTAAAATGTGATGTTTTAAGAGGAAAGATTTTTTTTTTTCTTTTCTTTGGTCTATAAAGTGATGGGTGTTTCTGTTCAGGTGTGTCATCTCAGTTATGCTTTGCTTAAACAGTACTGGCAGTTTGAAGTTTACACTTACTAAATGCCTAATATTTTTCCTTTTTCATTAGTAAGAAAGAGACAGGAGCACAAAATAAGGTCAGTCTGTATTTGACAATAAAAAGTATATTACAGATTATTTTTTTCATCATTTGGCTCCCTTTGCTTATAGAGTTCTGGACTGCTGGGAGTTTACGGAATACTTTTATCTATTAGAACTGTTATCGCCAGTGATGATCTTTGCTTTCTTAAATATTTCCCAGGTCCTGGTATAATTTTATTTTTTTTTTCTGGGGAACCTTTGTAAAATGG